CCCCCCCCCCCCCTCCGCCCCTCTGCCTCTCTTAGGCGTACACAGTCTTTCTTCTCGACACAGAAATTCCGACGCGAAGAATGCATGTTTGGAAGTGTCCCCCGTCTCCTACACATGCGCGCCCTGCTCGAGGACGACCCTCCACACTACACACATCACTTTTGTTTCCTCGCTCTCGGGAACAGGACCCCGAAGTGTTGAAAAGCCTCCTCCACGCGACCGAGCGGCTGCGGGGGTTGGCAAGAGTCGCGGGAGTGTACGTGGACAAGTACATGGCTCTGAGCGTCCTGGAGTTCGGGTTCGGGGGCCTGCTTCAGCGCCTGCCGAAGCTCTTGCCTGTCGTGCAGACGACGGTGAGCGCGTTTGCGAATCCTTGATCTTCTTCTTACCACCTTTCAGCAAGCGTGGTGAAGATCCTAGGACACCAAAGAAGATGCGGGTTGACAAGCTCGGACGTTGCGCGTAGCTTCATAGGGTACAATGTGACGGAAAAGTTGGTGTTCCGATGTATGCATGCTTCGTGGGATGAGGCGGCAGCGGCAACACGTAAACACCCCCCCCCGCGTGCGTGCTTTCCCCTCTCCTTGCCTATACCGCTTGCATACTTGTTCGCAACGGGACCCCCTGTCTGTTCGCCATACTACGGCACGATACCCGCAACAACGAGTAGATCCAGAAGAAAGGGTTCACGATCAAGGTTTCCAATCTCAACCTAGGAGGCGTCGTCTTTCCTCGAAGCGACATCCGCTTTTCTTTCCAGGGAACAAGCCTTCCCCCCCACGGCAGCACCGTGGAGACAAACACGCCGTTCGGTGAGTGAGTCGTGGTGATGTATTCGTAGAGAGCGAGAGAGAGAGAGAGAAAGAGAGGTGGAAACGTCGAGTTCGGTGTCAGGAAAAGAGATGAAAAGCACGGGCATGGCAACTAAAGCGATACAGATGACGTGAGGGACGAGACTGCCAAGTATTGGGCCTGAGGGGAATGGCAGTTGCACACAGAGGAAGGATAGGAAGGAGATGCATGCACAGAAAGGAAGGAAAAGAAGAGAGAAAGCAGGAGAGAGCGTGCGAGGAGTGTGGCGAACTGAGAGCAAATGATGTACCGCGCACAGAAGCGGGGAGATTGACAGAAGATGGCTCCTAGTGACCTCAGATCTCGTGCTTGTGCTTTTCGTTGCTGGAACGTCGTTGGCACGGAGCCCTTCTCACGGACCAGACCTATCCTGCTCCTCTCCCCCAGTCACCAGCTAGACCGCGTTTGTTTCCGTTCGCTTTACCGTTGTTACCGTTCGCTTTACAGGTCGGGGAAGGGTGGTGCGGCACATGAATCGAACGCACAGCCTGTGCGTCGAGCTGCTGTCCTTCCCCCTCCGCTCCGGCCAGTACGCCAGGTGAGGCAAGGGAGGGAGGGACGAGGGGAGCAGGGGCGAGATATCACGAGAAATCTGAGGCAACGAGATTGATGGCGGGAGATGCTGTTGTCTCAGAACTAGAGAGCGCGATGACTTGAGACTTGTTGACAGGAACAGACATGTTTTTCTGCGGACCCGAGGAAGCAGATACATGCGCTTGGAAAGCGCGAACAACCTGACGACCAGCCAGATTGTTGCAGTAGTGTTGACACAGGGACAATTCATAGCTGTAGCAGGTCTACTACACCTTGTCCACGTTCGCTCACGCATTCCACAACCTGCCGATCACTAGATGATGGAACATGTTCCAGCCGACCCCCCCCCCCCCCCCCCCCCCCCCCCCCCCCCCCCCCCCCCCCCCCCCCCCCCCCCCCCCCCCCCCCCCCCCCCCCC